TAAATGTAATGGAGAGGGTGATTATCACAATGAAATCCCTTCGTATTACTATCGTATGCAAACTCAAAAATAAAATTTAAGTGACTCAAGCCTGTGATCCTAGCTACTCTAGAGGCAGAAATCAGGAGAATCAAGGTACAAAGCCACCCAGAGCAAATAGTTCCCAAGACCCTATCTCGAAAAATATCCAACACAAAAAAGGGCTCAAGTGATAGAGCACCTGCCTAGCAAGCATTGAGGCCCTACGTTCAAACCCTAGTACTACCAAAAAGAAAAATTAAAAAAAAAAAAAAAAAACTGAGCTCAGACGTCACACACCCAGGAAACTGGTAGCATTGAATTCATAACAGGAGTTGAACAGGTCCTGTGACTGCTGTCATGTGCAGCTTTCATTCCCATTTCAGGCTAACTGGCAAGCTTGAGTGCCCGTCCATGTTAGGCCCACAAACTCCTAAGAGACACACTAAGCATGGTCCACTTCCCAGAGTTCTTAATGGACTCATCTTTGAATGAAGTGGGAAGGAAGGAGCAGTGGAAAGCAGGGAGAAGTGATACAGAACAAAGTAGGGGAGACTGCAGGCTCCATCCCAAATCCCGTCCATCTAGAGCCCAGACTAGCATGCCTGTTTCCCTCTAGGGCAATTTTTTTTCACATGGCCCTGTGTCTGCTGTCTGCCTGTGTCCAAATCTCCAAACCAGAAGACAGCAATCCCTGCCCTAACTCAGTTGCAGAACCCAGCACCTGAAGGCAGAGAGGAAAAGGCAGTGGTGACCAGTTTTTTCCTTTTTTTTTAATTAAACTGGGTTTCTAGCATGACTGCAATACCATAACAGCACCTGTGCCACCTATCTCCAGTGTAGTGAACATTATTTCAACAAAGTATATTAACAGTCTCGTATTTCCTGCATGCTTTGATATGACCCAAATTTTCAGTCTTTGAAAACTTGCCCCAAATACCAGCTTTGAACCTCAAAGCTGGTAGGACAAGGAAATGATGGCCTGTTTGCACCAGCGCCATCTGGTGGTGACACTTCAGAGTTAAGGGAAATGTCTGCAGCCCTGAGTGGGTTGGTCCAACAGGGAAAACAACCAAGTGTCCAATTATTGGCATTCTTCAAGAACACACCACTCATGTGACCCGGAAGAGCTGTGTTGAGCTTATCACCTTTCTGATGACCAATCTCATCAAACCCTCAATACTGCTTCAGATAAATTTGCAAAAAATACCCACTCTTTACCCGTGTGTTAAAAACACAGAGCTAGGGCTGAAATGTAGCTCAGTGGGTACAGTGCTTGCCTAACATGCAAAACACAAATGAAATAAAAATGAACCAGCACTTCCATACCTTTGCCTGGCCCTGGGAAGCTGAGCTTACAATTGTGGAAGATGCAGATGAGCCACCACCCTCCCTCCCCACCAGTGCTGGCAGCATTATCTGGCCATGTGATGTGGGGACCCTGGGTTTGCCATCTGCAGAACCAGGGACCACCAACTTTCACCCTTCAAATTAGATTTCCTATTTACATTATTGTTTAGGAGAAAACTGTGCTTTTGTTCTTCAAAAAAATTAATGAAATAGCCCCCAACCTACATGAGCTAGTGCATACTGCATGCCTTTTTATACAAATGGGAATATAAATGTACCTACAGGTATGTCTGCAACCCTCCTACCTCCACCTCCAGAGTAGCTGGGAACCACCATGCCCAGCTCTCAAAAACCGATTTTAAAGAACAATTATGGAAGGCAAAGAACACTGCATGGGAGGATGAAAAGCCAGACCGCTGAACACACCTGGCTTTAGTTTTGACTTGGAAGCTATGTAAATATACAGCATTGAGAGGAAAAAAAAAGTGTATAAAGATGGGAAACAAGTCTTGGCAACAAACGAGGTGGATGGCATACCCACCCATTAATATCAACACTCCACAGTGACCATCGAGGGGAGTTTACCCAGCAGAGACCAGGGTTTCCGGGAGGACTCAATTGCTGGCCTCACCCACAGGGTTCCTGGTACAGTCACTGGGGTAAACCTCATTTCTCTGTGATGATGATTTTGCTGCTCTAGGGCAACAACTTGAAAAACGCTGCTATACACAGAACTCCAAAAGGAAATGTTTATCATGTTAATGACATTGGTTGGCATTGTTTTGTTATATAAAGAACAAAGCAAGTTAAGTCATCAAGAACCCAGGTGTTCAGATAATCAAACATAAAAACCAAAGCAGAAACACCAAAATTTGAATTGGCACTGGTGAGATGTAATTCACTGTAAATTGTCGTCCCCCCCACACACCCAAGGAAAGCATCTACTGCTTTGTTCTCTGTATCAAAAACCACAAGCTCAAACAACTGGGTGGAATGAGTGTGCGCGCGCACACACACACAATCATGTCTAATTTCCAGTTCTTATAAAAGGACCCAGGGTCAATGGAGAAATAATGGCTTGCAGGACTGGGTCAGAACAGTTGTTTGCAACAACAGAAGGCAAAGACATCTATCAACTTTGTCCAGCCAACCATAGGCCAACGGGAAGGCCTCCCACTGGCCAACCAGGAGGTTCTGGACATCAGTGATGCACACAATTGCTTAAAGAATGCATCAAGAGTGAGGCGCCATGTTCAGTTTCAAACTGAACATGGGCAAGTTTAAAATTTACTCCTGGGCCACCTACAGGGGACAGGGGACGTCGTAACATTAGTGATGGGAACAGGAAATCAAGCATTTACCCTATTTTGTTCAAGTTATATTTCAGGGTTAGCCAAATAATCCAGATCAAGTTTTGCCTAGAGACAGGATCTCGTGATGTAGCTTAGGCTGGACTTAAACTTGAGGTCTTCTTGCCTCAGCCTCCCAAGTACTAGGATTACAGATGTGTGCACCATACCCAGCTCTCACAAGGTCTTCTCCATGGAATTTCAGCAGACGCAAAACTCAACTTTTACACTTCCAGTGTGCATAGATGGCCACTAAAATTCTACCTAAGGACAATGAGGCCTCTATAACCCCGTTCCAGCTTAGTATCATCACTGGGTGGAAATCAGAGGTGACACAAGAGGAAGACAGGGCGGGGCCTCTGTAAAATATGAAACCTGGAGGTGTAACCCCCCACATTACAGAATGACATGGGCTGGAGAAGCTGGGTAATTCAAACCACAAATAGGCAACGAAGAAACCGGAATGTGAGCCATCCACAGGACAGTGGTCCCAGTCCTTCAGCAAACAACCTCCTCAGAGTGATGGGGGAAGAGGCTGGGTTATAAACGGTAACACTGTGGCAAGTGTGTCTTTTGGCTCCATTGCAACAGGCCAGATGTAGGAAGATAGGTTTGAGGCAATCAGGAAAAGGAGACTGAGAGCTGGCTGTTCCTCCAGTTGAATGAGATTCTGTGAAGTGTGTATCAGTTAGAGACAAAGCATGTCTGAGATATGTTTCACCACTGCAGGACTGCAAAGCAGATTAATTGCTGACAAGAGAGGGGTGTGTGTTGGGGAACACTGGTTACACCCACCTGCTATTGCTACTGAGTGTGTTTAAAGTTGCCTTTATAAAAAGGTAAATGAAGTGACACCAGAACCCAGAACACAATAATGGCCAAAAACCAAGTTTGCAAAACACCAAATCTATATTTACATCTGCATATAATAACATAACTTTAAGCTGAAATATATCATAAATAAAACAATGTCTATTGTTTGACAAGTATCAACAATTAAAATAAATCAAACCGGAATGAAATAAATACATAAACAAAAATCCAACAAATTGTACCTCTAATATATGTACTATTGTCTCAAAGAAAAAATAAAACATACAAAACCAGTAGTATCCCAATAGTTAATACTGATGGACAAAAACATTTTGAAGTACAAAGGGCTGTTTTTAAAAATTGATATTTTTATGCATTCAGAAATTTAGCTGGAGAGAACTGAAAGCCCCAAATTTCAGTGTAATACATACTGACTTGTTTGCACATAGATTTGGTGATTTTTTTTTAAATACAAGTTTAAATTTCAGCCCACTATTCTCACATACCCCCTTTTAAGACTTACATTTGTAGTCACAGCAAGCTTTTGTAACACTCACTGATTAGGCAAAACTGAGTCGATCATCTTGTAAATGTGTTAATCTTCAAAAATAGGCTATCAAAGTGCAAAACTATGAGAAGAAGATCTAGTCTATGTGCATATGGCTCAGCTTGTGAGCAGGAAAACAGGTAATGCGCGCACTTTCCTGATACAAAGCACTTCACTGCAATGCCAGCCCACCGCTCTTCCCTGGACATGGGAGTAAAACTTCTACCAATGACACCTTGTGTTGCATAATGAAAAAAAATGTCGGGATTCTTTGAACACTTTACCCTTGATCTACAGAGAGGAGCAGGGCAAGAAAAATGAGCAGTGCAAATGTATTTCAGAAACAGTTTCTTAGTAAAACATTTTGGGGTTGCTAAAACCCATGAACTCACACATTAAAGGAACACAAGTTTAAAATCTCTAGCAAGCCAGCTGGCAGCTACCCTCTAAAACTCAAACTGCACATATACCGAGGAAAATGCTACTGCTACACAAACCAAAGCCAGGAAGACAAGGGGTCCAGCAAGATTCTCTCTGCCCTGCTCCTGGAAGGCTCGGCTAGCAGCTCCCTGTTCAGAACCAACACATCTGATTCACACTGGCGTGGCCACACCTCACCAATGCCAGACATACCAAGACTTCCATGTACAAACCTACAATTTCCCAAAACCCTTTCATTCCTTTTGAAATTGCTTCCCTATATTTGTAACTCACATGTGTATGCTAGCATTTTTATATACTAGTTTAGGCAACACCCCCAAGAAACTGATTTTTCCAACAGAAATGGTTGACTTGGTAGAAAACAAATTCAACAGCTCCACAAACAGTTTGGTGCGGTCACTGGCATTCGGCTCTTCTCTGGAGCCTCATTCACTCAAAAGCCCTACAAATCCCCCCACCACACTCCCCTAAACCCCCAGAAGGATCCTGGTGGTTCCAGGATAAGCTGGGCACACCAGGAAGACCAAGTCTTCTTCTCTGAGCCATCTGATGACATCTGCAGTAAAAGGTGCCAAGTTCAGAGTGGCTGTCCTCGAGACAGCAGCACATCTTCACAGGGTCGACACTTCTGTGAACAATTTTGTTAAGACAACAAGAGATCGAGCAGAATTCAACATAATACAAATCATTGATACTTTTTAACATACACTTTAAAGGAAAGAGGACAAGTAGAACTGCTCAAAGCACTGAGCAGGGAATACACAGTATTTAAACAAGCAGGTTTACAACGTAGGTATTTATATTTTTACCTGAGGTGCAAGCATTATATACTCCCCCCCCACATCCCAAATGATTTTTTTTCAGCAGCGCTCAAGTATGCAAAAATTTCACTTATTTGGTCAATTCTTAAAAAAAAAAAAATTATTATTCAGGGACAAAATAAGAAATTTGCAGCCCTGTTGGTATACAGCCAACTGTGCCAACTAGTTTATTGCTATTTGGTACAAATGTTAACAGAACAACTTTACAAAACCGTAGTGTTCCTCGAAGGTCCTCACATGTCTATGTACAGTACAATCACAGCTTATCTCAGTAGCTTTCACCGTTTGCTTTCTCAAAGGATGAACTAAAATTTATTTTCATGGAGAGTACGCACTTATATCCAGCAAGACCTAAGTGGAAAAAGGTTTAAGAAGTGATTAAGATAAAAAATGAAAGCAGTTTAGAAAAAACCAAAAACTTTTTTTTCCCCCAAGTGTGATAAATAAGTAACTAAAAACTCAATGGGCTCCATCTGAGCTCATTCTGCAATGAAAAATCCCAGAAGACTGAAGTAGGCATCACTGCACTACTTAGGAGATTAAGGTAATGAAACCAAGAATCGGAATTTAGCACCAGTTACAGAAAGTCTGAAAGTTAATCTGGGTGTGGTGGCATATGGCTATAATCCCAGAGCTCAGGAGTCTGAGGAATGGTGATAGTGAGTTTGAGGCCAGCCTGGGCAGGCTACATAGTGAGACCTTGTCTCCAAAACACTGAAAGCTCATATATTAAGATAAAAAAAGTATATGGAATGGAGCAGGAATCCAAAACAATTCAGATTCACAACAGCCTCCCTCCATGAAAAGCGGGAGTAAAGCATTTTAACAGACCTTATTCAGCCATCATCAAATTATCTCAGACTTTCCAGAAAGCGAGTGAAGGGACCCACCCCTGATCACTGAAAGCTCAACCAGGTCAACTGGGAACAGGATGGACCATGTGCAGGAAGAAGCCAGGTAGAGAAGCCCCTGGTTCCCAGCTAAGACCATACATAAGTGACTGTGAGCATGTCCTGAGTGTCGGAAAGGGGCTGTTAGGCAAAGAAAGCACTGGCAGGAAGTTCCTCATAGAAAGAAAGGCAGGCAGCAGCACAGAGCTTACAGACGTCATTGCTGGACAAACAGGGCAGTCACCAAGTGCTACTCCTGATCTGATGTCATGTGATTCCAAGTGGCCTGCTACTACTCATCTGTGCTTTCATCCCTAATTGGCTTTGATGCCTTACTGCAGAATGGGTTTAAGATGGTTCCTGTGATGATTTCCCTCGTCCCTTCACCCTGTTCATGATACCCCAGGTGACAAGATAGTGCTACCAGGGTCAACTTCATTTCTGTGCCTCTGTGTCCTGAGAGGAATCCTGCCCTGGACCACAAGCAACTTCCACCTTGTCACCACTAGTCAAGCAGGCACTCATTACAGAGCCTACTCCATGAGCACATGGTGATAGGTTTTGGGACAAATGCTACCTGAGAGCGAGTTATGTGTCCACCTCAGTTTTGCCATTCAATTGTAGTGTTAACAGAGTCCTAGTGTAATCCTTATGCAGGCATACTGGCCTCTGCCCAACTCCACCTAACACACACATGTACAACTCTGGTATCACTCTCCTGAGCTTTACTCCACAGTTACACCTCTGAAAAATGAACCAAGTCAAATACACGTGCTTGCTTCCTACCCAGTTTCCCTCTCCAGACCGATAAGGAACTGAGAAGGCATTAACAAGCTCTGGAACTAGAAAGTTGGAACTAGGTTTGCATCTGTGCAGACAAAAGTTAGGCTCCTTGCAACACACATGGGCAGAGGAGGACTCTGAACAAGTAACACAGTCCAAGCTTCAGTCCCTCCATCTGTGGAGCATGCAGAGCACCCAGCCCTGGGTCAAACACTTACTCTATTTTCAGTTTTGTGGGCCATAGGTTCTGTCACAACTACCCAATCCTGCTGTGTGACAGGGAAGCACTCTTAGATAACAAGTGAACAAATGGGTGTGGCTAGGCTCCAATAAAACTGCTTACAAAAACCTCCAGGTGGGGGCTGGATTGCTGACCTGACGCCCAGCTCTAACAAGGTTTAATGCCTGCTGACTTCAACTCTTCACTCAGTGCTGGGGCACAAGGTGACTGCTCAGTGAATTTCAGGTGCTATTAATGACTGTTTCTACTGTTATGGATACTAATATCCAGTGACCTGAGCACTTTAACTTCAACTTTAAAACACGTTAAGATAACCAAAATCAAAATTAAAATCAAAGTTATTTTTGTATTATATTGGACAAGCTAGATGATTTATTTTCAATTAAGTAAAATCAATACATTATATTTAATTAAAACATATGCTCACCTTTTTTCCCCCCAAAATAGGAAATCAAGTTTTTTTGTCATTTGGTCGATAATGTGCATTTCCAATGAAATTCTCATAGTCTCTCTTCTGTAGCACGCTGCTAGATAAGTGCTGGTATGATACAGGCCTCTTTCCTGATTAAAAAGAAAGCACAAAGGCATTCAGAGGCAAGTTCAAACAATGGGTAGATCGTATGGGTTGCTAGAAGATCACTGTCACATCACAACAGGTCACACAATTTAGAGTTACAGCAAATTATTTTTATGAGAACATTCACGAGCCCAGAATTTTAAGTCACTAAAATTATCTAGCTTTTGGGCTATTGCTAGTTAAGAATTAAAAAGACAAAAAGAAATAACAGTATAGAATGTTGTAAGCATCATGAACCCCAAATGTGTAGGAGAAAAGAAAAAAAAAAAAGATCCATTTAAAGAAGGATTTGAGGGCTGGTGGAGTGGCTCAGGTGGCAGAGTGCCTGCCTAGCAAGTGTGAGGCCCTGAGTTCAAACCCCAATACCACAAAAAAAAAGGATTTGACTTGCAACACAGTCTTTTCCCAGTAGTTTGTTTTGTTTTTTGACAAGATCTCATTATGTAGCCCAGGCTGGCCTTGAATTCATGATGATCCTCCTTCTTCAGCCTCATGAGTGCTGAGATTACAGCTGTGCCCCACCATATTAGCCCTCAATAAAGTTGTGATCCCTGTCCATTTTGACCTCCAGGAGGAAAAAAATGGACACTTATTAAAAGGCAGCAAAAATTATTATTTCATCACAACTTTAATAAGATCCACTGGAGTGTGTGAAATCACTTGTTTTTAATTTCCATCTCCACCAGACCAAAGGTATCAAGTGATCCTTGATGAAAGCCTTGACACCACCCCGAATCCTTAATTTGAAACTAACACAGGCTGAAAACAGATTTCTTTTGGGGGCAGCACAAAACTAGCAGCTTCTATCCAGTAAGGGGAGGTGCTGTGGCTTAATCAAGCTTGCCAGTGGTCTGGGTAAGTCCCTCTCCACCCGCACAGGTATGTGCCAAATGCCTCTACAAAGTGCAAAGTGCAAAGTCACCTGCAAGACTAAACATTTTAGTTGTGGGACACAAGGGTAGCTTTCAGATTCACTTAGTAAAAAGAACCAAACAGGCAGTGGAGTTCTATGTGTGGCAACATCACAATGTTCCAAGGAGCCGGGTGCCAGTGGCTCATGCCAGTAATCCTAGCTACTCAAGAGGCAGAGATCAGGAGGATCAAGGTTTGAAGCCAACCCGGGGTAAATAGAGACCCTATCTCAAAAAAAGATCACAAAAAAGCGTTGGCAGAGTGGCTCAAGATAAAGGCCCTGAGTTCAAACCCCAGTACTGAAAAGAACGTAATGTTCCAGGGCTCATGAAGCAGCAGTTCCTACACCTGCTGCTCTGACAAGCTCGGGCTCTTCACTGCTGAGTTCACACCCCATGTGTACAGGTCAAGGGCAAGGCTGTGCTAGGAACTTTACAAACCAGCAGGGTGCAAAGCACATGAGGAAGAACCCTAAAATCCCACAGGAGGCTGGGTGTAGTGGTGCACTCCTGTAATCCCAACATTTGGGAGACTGAGGCAGGAGGATTAAGAGTTCAAGTCCAGCCTGGGCTACAGAGCAAATTCATGCCTCAAAAATACCAAAGTGGTGGTGGGCGAGGGGGAGTGCAAAGGCAAAAAAAGGGCTGGAAGAAGTATGGTGAGCAGGGCCTCATGGCACGTGGAGATTCCACAGCAAGAAAATGAGCAGATTAAACCAGTGGCTCTCAGCCATTTGTCACCGTCATGCCCTCAGAGATTCTCAAGAATATGGCTCAATCCCAGGAGTTTAAACTTTGAAACCATAAACCACGCCATCTATCAGAATGTTATCTTTGTGCCCTCTGTGGGAATGCGTGATCAGCTAACAGCCCACCCGACTTCCGCTGCAGTTGGTACCTTCAAGTGCTGGGCTGGGGGCAGGGTGCCCAGCAGGGCCACAGGTGAACAGCCCCGAGCCGCTGTAGGGCTTCGGCACCGTCAGCACGCTCGGAGACTCCATGTCCCCAGAACTCAGGAACCTGGGTTTGGGGGGCAGCACTGGCGGTGGGCACACACATTCCTGGGGCAGCAGTGAGGGGATGCTCCTGACCACATGGTACTTGGGCAGCTCATAGCCCCTTCTGCTGTTGGGCCCAGACTGCTCCACCTCAAGGGCTACCACGTTGGGCTTGAGTCTTTTGGGAAGCGGCTCGCCAGTCTCTACTGAGTTACTGCTAGCACTCCGATGGCAGAAATAGTCCCTCCCTGGAGGAGCCCAGGGGCCCTCGCCCTTTGGAGGGTAGTCCATGGATCCATTGCTATTACTGCTGCTGAGCACGGCAGCGTGGGAAGAGGCTGCTGGCAGTGGTTTCAACTTTGTCTCCGACCTTTTCGTTTTATCCAGAGTGGAAGAAACACTGGTCTTGGAAAACATCTCCGATGGCTGCTGTCTGACAGCCCCTGGGCCCCCAGTGCTCTGTGGTGGCCTCTGTGACTTCAGGTTACTTGGCGCTAAAGTGCTGGAGTCTGTCCCTAAAGTCAGAGGGGCTTTGCCTGGCCCTGAGGGGCCCTGCCGCCCCTTCTCTAGCGGCAGAGATTTGGGCTGCGCTGGGAGAGCAGCCTTGGACTTGGCTTTGTGGAGGCTGGGCAAGGGAGGCACATCTTTGCCCAGCAGGGCAGGAGGGCAGCCAGTCCGTCTGCTCCTCAGCAAAGACCTATTCCTGCAGTTTTTGTGAATGTCGGGGTTGTACTTGTGCTCCAGCCTCTGGTGCATCATTAGAACTTCTGGATAAAAAGTCTTGAAGGTACAAAATGGGCAGGTGATACTGGGGATGAGACTTTTACTCAGAGAGATTGCAGGGCAACTGTGAAAGGCCCCAAGGGACAAGTTCAAAGGTTTTTCCTGACAGTCCGCACCAGGCTTGCAATCGGCCGTGGTCTCCATCTGCTTCTCTTTGTGGCCGATGTCGCCACACCGGGCAGCGCTGACATCTGCAGGAGCCAAGTCTGCTTCCGAGTTACCGACAAGGCTACTGGCCTGAGGTTCACCCGCTGGTCTCTTTTTCAACATGTCCACATAAGCAGGAGCAGCCGCTTTGCCCACTTGATCAGTGCTGTCGTCAGCTGCACGTTTAGGGAAATCCTGAGTATCTTTGTGTGCTGGTGAGAGGACGGCACTGCTCAGAACATTCGGGAAGACAGAAGGCGTCTCCTTAAGCTGCTTGGCAGGTGGGCTGCCTTTAATATCTTTGGCACCATCAAAAAATCTCTTTAAATTTTTGGTCTGCACACTGTCGGCGGCTAACAGTGCATCTTGGGTCTCCTGACTTTTGCCTTCATTCTTCACTTCGGCAGCAGCGTCAGTCATCTGTCTGTCCTTGTGGTGTCTCTCCAAGTGGTACCTCAGAGATGTCTTCTGGGCTGCGGCATAGTCACAGAATTCACATTTATACGGTTTTTCACCTAAAACAAGAAGCCCACTTTGTTATGTCAGCTTATGAAAGACATTAAAACAGAACTTCAGAACCTAGGAAATCTGTGGCAGAGAATGTGGGTTCCCTCATTTTCCTCCCCTACCAATCCCACACCTAGGATTTCTCAAGAGCTCTTTGCTTTAATCACCCTTCCTACCCTGCAAACTTTTAAATGTGAATGTCTATCTGTACTAAAAAAAAATAAAGTTAACAATGCTTTTAACTAATTTAGCCTCCTTAGCCCTATGGAAACAGTATTATCACACTCTTCCAACTAAGAAAACGGGGGGCGCAAAAGACTCAATAACTTGCCCAAGCTTAGCGCTGCAGTGTGTGGATAAGAAACTCAATCCACACAGCCTTCTATACCACTATTTTATAGCTGCTTCTACAATCTAAAGACTATGAAATACATACTCAATTCATTCTAAGTCGTAAATATATATACATATATATGTATATATATATACACACACATATATATGTATATATATACACACATATATATGTATATTTTTAAACGTGGTATTTAAAAATAGGTTTGAGGCTGGAGGTGTGGCTCAAGTAGTAATGCAGCTGCCTCGCAAGCACAAAGCCCCGCGTTCAGACTCCCGTACCACAAAAAAAAAATAAAGTTAGGTTTTGAATAAGATAAGTGAGGATACAGTAGCCATGAACCAACTTAAAAAAGAGAACAACTGTTCAAGCCTCAGTGATGAGGATAACAGCTGCCACTGGCACAGCTCATCTACCCTCCAGCTAATCCAAGGATGTAATAGAATATGTGAACCACAAAAACAGAACTACATCAGAATTCTTTTAACTTATAAATGCTTCCAATAAAAGTCTTTACCTGTGTGCGTTCTGAGATGAATATTGAGGTAATAATTTGAACGGAAAAACTTCCCACAATAGCTACACTCCCTCGAGGATGTGAGATGCTTTATTTTTCCTCCATCATCGTTTTTATCTTAAAGCAGAAACAAAAATACTTATGTAAGAAGACAGCTGATGCACATGAATCAGGCACGTTGACTTAAATATGCTTGATATAACACTTCTGGAAAGCAGGAAGGAATTTTTCATTTTAGTGCTGAGAAGAAAAAGAGATAAAAAGCATCCCAAACACCATTGTGCAGTGGCCTGAGGTTTACACCTGTGGAGTTTTTGTTTTCTGGGTACAGCACAGTGTGCTGTTATTGCCTTCATCACAAGAGAGATCTTTACCGGACAGAACTGCACAGGTAACTTTCTGGTCTGGGCAACGCACAGATCGTACTCACCTGACCACAAAGGTGCCCCCCGGCCAGAAAATCCACCTTCTTCAGAATCAGTAATGTAGAAAACTGAGCCAATGTAAACTATCAACTCTCAACCAGGAGAAAAGTTAACTTTTTATCTTAAGATCAAGTAAGTTACCACTAGAGGGTAGCAAGTACAACCAAATCTTCAACAGCAATCTTGCACTGAGCAAATACCTAGGGAAGCCTGTGGAGACTCAGCAAGGCTTGAGAGAGCAGACTGTAGTGTCCCCAAAAAAGTAAAGTGTTAAAAACTTTGAACTTCAATTTTTGCAGCATTATCGGGGCAGTGTATCTGATGTGCCAGAGTCTATTGTCGACTCTTAATTAAAGAATTAGGTTCCAAACCTATGCCAGTCCTCCAACAGACAACTGAATATGCTGTGGTTAGAATAACCCCCAAATATTTCAGTTCTAAATAAATAGTCCCTACTGCAGATCATATTACAAACATTACAATCTGAATGACTACAACAAACAGCTGGTCAAATCTTCAACTCACATAATTAGGGCTGGGGACTTGCCTTATGAAACTGCTCTTTCTAATTAAGATTCTGCATCCTCCATACTAACACTGAAGCAGCTCATCCGCAGCTCTGAGCAAGCCCTCAGGGGTAGCACTCATAGGACAACACAGTCACAACACAGGGGTCCCTCTGGGGAGGGGTATCCACCTCTAAGACAGATAACCTTTGACATAAAAAGGTACCATGAAGACTTTCAAAAGTAATCACTGACTTTGCTATTTGATCTTGTAAGTAAATCCAAAGAAAGCCAGGCTAAATAGTGCAATAAGATAAATTTAGACAAGGAAGCCATAGAATAACAAATTTAGGAAAATCAATTCCCTCCAATATAGAACACCCAACTATTCTTACAATTTCACCCAACTAGTTATGTTTATATATGGGTTTACATTTTATTGAAATTTCTTACTTTCAGGTGAGGCCCTGAGTTCAAACCCCAGTACCATCAAAAAAAAAAAAAAATTTTTTTTTTAAAGAAACTTCTTACTTCCAACTGCAGGTCAGGATTTAATGCTGTCGCATCAGATCCCAAAAGTTATGAAAGTCCTTTAAGCCCTTTATTTTAAAACAAAGGACGTGACATTTCCATAGGCTCCTGACTTTAAGCACATTTGATTTTACAGTGCTGTTCTCTAGAGAACTTTTTACAAATAGCCTATAGAAGTCATCGTTGGGAAATGAAAGGCAGTCAATGAGCCAATTTTGCTCATGGGGAAATCAAGGCAAAGAAAGTTTAAACAATATGTACCAGTGTCACCAAGCCAACACAATGGCAGAAACAGAAAACGCCAAGCTGTGTTCCCACCTGCGACCTAGCATTCTATCCTTGGTGACCGAGCCCAGGTTTTCCATGACACCTAATGGCTGGCCCCTTCACTTTTCTCTAGAAGTGGGGCATCTTACAGGTATCCACAGCACTGACACTAACAGGAACTTTGTGGCCAACTAGGGCCTGTGGGAAAGCCTTTCTGTGATGTCCTTAACTTAAGACACCAGAATGTGTTTTCCAGGTTTCTAGAAACTGAAAACTCACTTATTACACATTTCATATGGAAGCCAATCACAGGACTGGCACACAGAAACGGGCACCAGCTTAGGAGGAACAGCAGGCACTAAGAACAACACACTAGGCTGCCCCATTCTTCCTGGGCCTCCAAGTTCTCCAAGACTCAAAGCACAGTGCAAGGCTAAGAAGGCATTTGTTCTGACCAAAGCCATTTGGAAACCAGGCTGCTCTAAGACCTCAGAATGTGTTCATTCATCACTGGATTTGTCTTGACATATGTTTTGTTTGTTTTTAAGCAGCAAATTCCTCATTCTAATGATATTTTCTAATGATATTTAAGTGGATTTCAGACACTGATTGAAGTAAGGACCACAAACACAGCAAGACTTACATAAACACAGGTGCCGCAGCTCATGCCCACCGGGTTAGGATCTGAGACATGGGCAGGCCCTGGTGACAGACTGCACTGATCAATGCCTTCAGCAGCACACTGACAAATGTGCTGAGCCAGTGTGATGGGAGCTCACACTCCCTGTGCTTTACAACAAATCATTTTGGTTACTGAGGTGCAGGTTAAAGGACACTGGCATCCCAGACACAAAGGACAGGATGATCAGAAGCACCGAGCGATCCCCGGCAGTACACCTGGCTCTGCTGGGTAACACTTTCCACTGCCTTCTGTACCACTAGAAAATTTCAGTGGAGGCCCTGCAGGTTCTCTCCATTTTTACTGCCATTCTGGTCTAGGTAATTCTTTAATGCAGGGTTGTCCTGTGCAGTGCACCATGTCAGCAGCATCCCCAGCCTCTGACCAGTGTGTGCATGCGTACACACACAGTTGTGACAACCAAAAATGTCCTCAGAGTTGGCCAGGTATTGAGTAAAGACAAAACAGCCCCATGGCTGGAGGCTGATGCACAAGTTATAAGAAAAAAAATGTGTGTCCTTTGGGAGCAAAATATAAAATCACAAAATTTTCAGAACAAAAGATAGGCCTTTTAACTCAACCCGTTACTAAGGAAATGAGAAAATTAGGGACCTGAAAGGTTCAGTGATTACACAAGGTGGTAAAAAAAAGGGCCTGAACTTGAACCAGTGCCAATCCCCTCCCCACCAATGCCTTCTGGGATGTGGTAGGACACTTACCCACATGCAGCCCATCAGGGAGCCCATCCTCGGACCCATCTTCAGAACCCCCTTCAACTCGGTCCCCGGTCCCGCTGTCATCCAGAGGAGTGGCGAGGTCCGGGGAGCACGTCCTGGGTTGCCTTCCATCTACAGACATGGTTGGTGACTCAGCGTCGGCCCTCCGATCCTTCTTGTGCACTCGGGAGTGCAGGACCAGCTGGTGGTAGGTCCTAAAGGCCTTGCCGCACTCAGAGCAGTGCGTGGGCTTCTCCTTGTTACCGGCCAACTTGGGATCTGCATCTGCAGAAGGCACTTCACCATTGGCCTGTCTGGCCTTCTCTTTGTCTTGCGAGAGGCTGGTACAACTGCTTTTATTTGTTTTGGACTTTCCAGAACCTTCTGATTTATTCCCACTCCAAATCTCTCCAAGTTCTTCTTTCTCTGAACATGAGTCATCATTGTCAGTGCTCCCTTCTTGCCCTGGCTCCTTCACCTCTTCTTGAGCAATGGCAACCTTTCCTTTGGTGGCCAGCTGCCACGCCTGATAGGTGGTGAACGGGTCGAGCTGCGGGATGCACACAACGGGCTTCCTAGTGGTCTCCAGGTGAGCTTTGGGTCTTAGGTTTAAAAACTGCAGCAGCTCTTCCCTGGGGGATGGCACGCCCTCTTCCTGGGGGTCGCTCTGTGCATTGCTGGCACTGGAGGCAGTTTCTTTGGTGTGCACCTTGCTGTGTTCAATGAGATTCTCTTTATTCGGAAAGAGGAAGCCACAAACCATGCAGATTTTGTAAGGAGACGAGATGCTCCCAGCCACGTGAGCCTGGACCACCTCGTTGATCGTGACCGGACTCTCCAGGCCCTGCTGCAACTTGCTCTTGGCGCCCGATTTGCCATTGTGTGTCCGCATGTGATTTTTCAGGAACCACGGCTCCTTGAACCTCCGTCCACACATGTTGCACCCATACGTGAAAGAGTCCTTGTGTTTCTTCATATGGATCTCAACATCAAAAGCAACTCTGAATGTCTGCCCACACACTTCACAGCTAAATTCTTCATTTTCTTTGCCATTCTTGTCCTTCAGAGGTTCTGTTCGCACTTGACTTTTATCGAGAGGACTGAGATATTCCGCTTCCACACGCAGAACTGCGGGCTCGCATAGGGTAGGCCGATGTTGCATTAAGACATGTTTATTAAGGTCGTCTGCATGTGTGAAGGTCTGGTTGCAAAACATGCAGTCCAAGGGCATATATCCTTCTATCTGGATTATATTTTTCTCTTGAGAAGCTCTGAAAGGAACAGCAGTGGCCCCTTTGATTGACATGGCATCATCTACCTCCATCTGGGTGCCAAGGGAACCACCAATGACTTCTGGTCCATCCATGTACACAAGGAGGGATTGAGTTGGCATGTTTCCTGTTGCTTTAGAATTAGATATAAAGTAAGATTCAAAGTTCTACTTGGGGATTTCTAGGGTTGGAATAAGGCCACTTGTAAGACTTGTTGCTCTCACCTCCAGCAGCCCGGGGCTTCAAAACTAGAGCCAATATTTACTATAAATTCAAAAAAAAAAAAAAAAAAAAAAAAACCTATATATTCCTCTAACTTATCTTCCTAAATTTGGGAGAAGCTCAGTGATGGAGACTGTCACTGGCTCTGCCCACAAACAAGGCATACAGACGGCCAGTGCTGTGATTCAAATGTGAATCAGCACAAAGCCTTAGTTCTCTTTGTCTCCATTGAGTGGTTCAATTGAGCAAGAAGTCAATCCCGGCAATGTGGAGGAGAGGGATTTCCAAAACCTAGAAGAAAAAATAGAAATGGTTAGCAAGCTCAGAAAAAAGAAGGCCCTGTGCGTGAGTCACACGGTCTTTCTATGCAGCTAAGAAGGGACCTAATTCAATTGCCTCACCTTGAACTAATCCATAATGAATCCTGCTAAACATGCTTGTTAACTAAACCATTAGCATTTTCCCCAGTCAGTACACTTATTAGATTGGTAGAATTTCATCCAGTCAAGAAACTTTTAAGACATGGTGGCATTACTCATTTAAATCTAAAAGGTTCGGTTTAAGGCAGGCTGGTGGCACATGTGAGAGGCTGAAGCAGAAGGATTTTGACTGGGCTAGAGTGAAATCCTGTCTCAAAAATAGAAATAAAACCAGGGCTGGGAGAGTGGCTCAACTAAGTGGTAGAGCACCTGACCAGCAAGCATGAGGCCATGAGTTCAAACCCCAGTACTAAACTTAAGTAACAAAAATGAGTAAAACAAAAGATCTAGTTTCGGGACAGAAATTGCTAAACTAAGCTGCTCAGGTTTTTAATACCACTAAAATGCACATATATATCCTGTATAGTGCCTCCAAAAATCTCAAGACCATGAGAGCTATAAAAGTAAGATGACAAAATTAAACTACTTTGGGTAAAATCTTAAAAGCCAGTGGGTAAAATCTTAAAAGCCAGTGCTCAAAACTATTTTCTACACAAACCCACATACAAGAAACAAATGCTCAAAAGCACGCTTGAAGAGCACAGAGGTCTAAAGAGAAGCACAGGACAGAGACCTTTCCTAAAATCCTCACTCACGAAACACAGAGCAACTCACTATGCCACTTGTGTTGGCCAAGGACACTGTGATAGATTTTGGCTCACAGGATGTTCTAAACCTCAGTTCACTGTCCAAATCTGTTTGTTCTCAACAACTTTCTCCCTTCTGCCTTCACCAAGCATCAGGCAGGGTTTCCTATTCCACACAACAAATTCAGAAATGCACAAAAATCTACTTTCTTTGTGAATATACACATTTATAACAAAATCCTCAACAGAGTTGTTTCAACATGACTTAATCTTTCATCAGAAAATGGATCCTCTTTTTAATCCATCTTCACCATAGGCTGGCCAGGTGGAAAAGGGATTACTTTATCTCTGCCAGCCCTCATTTGGAGGCTAATTTTCACTCCTGGAGAAGAATTAACTTCTAAAGCCAACACTCTCCACATTTACGGCAGAGAAAGAACTTGTGTTTAAATTGCACCAGCTACTTGAAAGAAAACTTCAGTCGATTAATTCTACCCAAGAACACAGAAAGACACATGCAATCTTAACACACACACATGCACACACGTACATACACATTCACAGGTACATACACATAAATACATACACACAGTCTATATAAAACAAATCCAACAGTACTTCTCTTTACTTGCTCCCAGAGTGGAGCTCACACCTAACAGAAGCTCTCTTCCCTTCTTTAAACGCAGGAAAAAATTCTTCCCGCTTTTTACCTTTCGTGTGGAATAAGCTAAAGCTTTAACATTAGCCTTTTCCACCTACACGGCCAGAATACAGATTGGGTAAACAAACAATGCTGCAGGGTTTTGTCTTCATTTCTGCCTTTTCTTTGTTGCAATCACAATGGAGGATAAAGACATGGGCTATGACCTAACAGCTTATGATCTAACAGAACATGCCAGAGCTCTGAGTTCTAGTCTGCCTAAGTAGCAACCTTAAGGTTGTCACAGGCGCACACTCAACCAGTATTTACTGAATACCAGTGTCCTGGCTGACATTTTAACTGAAGAATTTCACACCCTGACAACTCTTCACTGGCCTACAGATAAATGAGAAATGAGAATTCAATGAGTTCTAACCAAGGAGACAAGGACTAACTTCAATTTGAAAAAAGATTACCGTTTATTGGAGGTCCTTTCCTCTTTTTAAGTGCTAAAATACCTTTTTAAGAAAATGGCATAGAAGTGATAGCAAAGTGGTTGTTTTTGTTTTGTGCTTTTTTAATCCCCATATTTAGCAAAATCAAAGTCACCTCCTGTTAAGCCAGAACTTTTTTTGAGAAATTTTGGTTAGGCTAGGGATGTTCAATCCCCAGCACAGCAAAAGAGAGAGAGAGAGAGAGAGAGAGAGAGAGAGAGAGAGAGAGAAAAAAGAAATAAATCTGGCTCATCTGTTCAATGTAAAAATTTTTTAGGAAACTCACTTTTCAAAATTATCTTGAGGGGCTGGAACTGGCCCCCTTTTCTATAGGTATCCTTTCCAAATAACACCAACCTGACATTCAATCCCCTGGGTTAGAAGTATGTGGAATAACCCCTAGAAATACCTATCTTCAAAAAATGGTTTGGGTGCCAATTTTCATCTGAAATCTTCAAACACCTGGGCTAAGAAGGTTGCCATCATTCAAACCTAAGACCTTCTAAGACTACTGCACTGCAATAAAGGATGGCAAAGGAGCCGCACGGGGATAGAAATCCTGTTGAAAAGACAAGAGCTTCGGCCTTGCCCATGGTCCACCAAAGCCAAGCACATGGAGCCTGCTACAGAACTGAAGGCAAGCACGCTCAACTCACAAACTACAAAACTTTCCTTAAACTCAAAAGCAAACCATACTTTAAGTCACTTAAAACCAATGTGCTAGCCAGGCACTGGTCTAATCCTAGCTATTCGGAAGATCATGGTTCCAGGCTAGTCCAGGCAAACAGTTCTCAAGACCCAATCTCCAAAATAAGCAGAGCAAAATGGACTGGAGGTGTGGCTCAAGTGGCAGAGCACCTGCTTTGCAAGTGTGTAGCCGAGTTCAAACCTTCATCCCAACAACAAAAAAATTACTAAACCAAAATCTTTAAAGTGGTTGTAATAATAAAGACTTAATATCAGAAATTATCAAAACAAACTTTTTCCTTTAATATATATTAATTACAAAATGGGTTTCATTGTGCTATTTCCATATCAGAACAGAAATTCTGACAAATAACTTCTCCAAATAGGGTGTGCACACACACAGCCTTCCCAGAATCCTCCAGAGCATGGAAGGCAACACAGTAAACCGACGTTGCTGCTGATAAAGAGAACTGTCTTTCTTGACAAAGGGAGGGGTATTATAATCCAAGCCTGCCATCTAAATGCTGCAGCAACGTGGACATTCCAAACACACCAAGAGTATTAAAAGGCAGCTTTCAAAACTAGTTTTAATGTTAAAAATCTTTACTCAGGCAAACTCTTCAATTAACCTTCAGCCACACACCCCGAGGAACCTAAGTCAAGTGGTTGTTCAATTCAAGCTTGTATTTTGAGACAGTATTAGGGCTTAGTTTATATTGTGATTACTGAATTACTTTTTTTAATGTACCACAACACAGTCTTTGAAATTCACTAAGAACTATATTACTTTCTCTGAAATGTCTGATGTTCTGTCACTAGAGACCCTCATTTGTGACAAACTACTGAGTTCTACCACTACGTGTATGCAGACTGTAAAATTAGCAAGCACTATACACTCCACACTGCTTAAAGAAAAGTACAATTGTGTTGAGATACAACAAATTAGGGGCAAGTGCCACTTTACTGACAATTACTGTAACTTGGGCATAATATTCTTCCCATAGAGATATCCTGAAACTTAACCTTTAGACAGCACACCTGTTTCACCTAAACGCATTACCTCACAATCTGGATACAGAATATTCGTCTATCCCAGCATGCAGCAGTATCCAAAGTCCTAAGAACTGTCAAAAACACATAAAAATTCTATTTATAGAAAAGCAATCTGTAGTATTCCTACAAAAAATTTTTTCTCAAGTTAGTAAGATATCCAAATAAATGGTTATTAAAGTAATTCAACGTCAGTCACGTGCCAGTGGTTTATGCCTATAATCCTAGTTACTTGGGAGATTGAGATTGGAAGGATAGAGGTTCAATGCCATCCTAGGCAAATAGTTCTTGAGACCCCCATCTCCAAAATAACCAGAGCCAAATGGACCGGAAGAGTGACTCAAGCAGTACAGCACCTGCGTTGCCAGTGTGCTGTACTGGCAAACCCCAGTCCCACCAAAAAAATAATAATAAAGTCAGCTTAAACTGCTACTCTCTGTCCAATTCACTTGTATTCTTAAAATTATAAAATCATCTCCAAGTTCTGGTTATGAAACTAGTAAATTTTTCTGTAAATTCTTCCTCTGCATTTTACATCCTGTTTTTTAACCTTGCAAATGGAGAAAATTCTCCATAGTAAGTTACAGTAGCAATCAAAAACTTCAACTCCTTCACTATTTCTAAGAAATCACCAAGGTCACATACATGAGCTACAGGATCAACTCTACTTGCCTAATAACTGTGGGATAAGATGCTTAAAAGTTGAGAGAAAAAGACTTCAACACTCAAAGAGTTTAAATGCAGCCTTACAACTGCAACCATCAGGCAAAAAAAAGACTGTTCAAAAGGAGAAACTTGGGAAGATCTACAGGCAACAATCTCATGTTCTTAAAGCCACACAGAAATGCTCGGCCTTCCTAAACAAGACTATACAGGGCCACTATAAAAACACTCGAACATCATAATTAGAAGTTACCCAATTTATTCCAGATCAGCTGAGGCCAAAGGATCTTCGTAAGGACTTATAGCACCCATGCTAGTTTTACTTTCAGTATTATCAATACCAACAGATACCATGATCTGTAACCTGGCTATCAAATGCTCCATCTTGATCTGAAGAAGAGCCATAGGAAAAGAACTTTCACATTTTTAATAAGGCCAGAGTAAGCACTGCAATCAGTGAGTTTCTAGTATTACTACTTAACTGGTACGACTTAAATATTTTGAACAGATTTGACAGATTAACTGTACCCAAGGTACAGAAAATTAATGGTTTCAGAAAATTTAAAGAGACCACCTACTATTTGTACCTATATTCTTTAACTCCACAAAGAAACACTGAGCATGTGTGTGTGCATGTGCACACAAGTGAACAGAGATACATAAATAACTCTGCCCGTTACCCTGCACCACAATGTACTGTGATCTATCCCACTTTTTGCAGGTCAAACCAAATTAGACATAGTTTAAATAACCTGAGGTTAAATGCAAGCTCAGGCAACATCTTAAAGGCCTACAATCTTTCCTTAGTAACATTTAAGTAAAAAGTCAACCTTTTTCAAGTCACCTGCTTGCTTTCCAAGTTAAGAAGGAAAAACGTCTCCTTTCTATTAATATGTATCACTGTTCAGGAGATTTATTTACTAAGCTGAAAATAACTTATCCACTGACTATCAAATCAAACAAAACAAAACACACACACACAAAAAAAAAAAAAACCCTACTTTTTTATTTTAATTATTTTAAGTTATCCTGACTCAATGCAGGCAGGAAAGAGAAAAAGTGAAAAGTATTTCTCCTAGAGCTGATTCAAGAACAAAACCTATCTGGAGTCTGTAATTCCAAGCCATTTAACTACATCTTAAGTTCAACAGTAATAAACACCAATACAAGACCACCACACACACCTATTAAAAAACTAGCCTGACTCTGGCCTAGTGCAGGTCAGAAACAACTGGCAAAGCTTTGAGAGTGAAGGCCAGGGAATTAAACTCATCCCCTCATACAACTTACTCAGCTGTCTTTCTCAGGGTTAGTAATTTTATTTCTCAACTTTATCATAAAATTACCTAACTGGCCCAAATTTCCAGTAATTCAGTTATGTGGATACCCTGGGTAGGAAGTAGTGGGGATGTCAGAACACACTGTCAACAAATATTCAAATGTAGAATTCTTTAAGGAGCATTCCGGTGTTAAATACACAGGGTGATTTGTGGTGGCAGCTGGCTAACAGGGGCTACCCGCCCCCATTTATTTGGAAGATTGATGGGTACAAAAATTGGACTTACTCATCAGGAGCTACAGATTTCAGGAAAGAACAGTCCCCCTTCTTCCACTTCCTTCAAGACATATCTGTCTGCCCTCGTGGTCTTAATTCAAAATCTTTGCCCACATACCATTGTAAACGTGCTCATCTCTAGTACTGGGTAACAATCCAGAGCACCTCACTATGGAAGTTGTTCACTACCCCAAAACGAGGCCGGTACATCGGATTCTATAGGGTGGCTGCCTTCGCCCAAATTTAGAAACTTCCTGCTGCCTTTGTGCAATAATACAGTCTTTCTTCCACGTGCATTTCAAACTGGCTAACACCCCTCCCCCCAAAATCTGGAGATGAGGTGTAGGAATGAAGGCTCCTCCTTTGTCACAAATTTAATTTACATGCTGTAGCTAAACCCTTCACTGTTTAGAACATTTAATATGACTGGAATTCATTTAATTCAGTTTTGGTAGCTGTCCTATACAGACCTTCCAGGGTTTGATTTTTTAATACTCTAGTAACTTAAAAACTATCCTATATATTTTATGGTAATGATTTAACTTAAAATCTCATTAATCTATTGACTACTCATTAGTTTATACAACTGTCTCATTTCTTCTTATTCCTGCATATAATTCTAAAGCTTGAAAACCTATATATAGTTACTGCTCAGAACTTAGGCTTCAAGCTTCCAGCTTATTTATTATATTGCTATGGGTATATATACAGAAGGGGAAATTAGGAATTTAAAATCATATCCAGCAACCTCAGAATCCACAACACACAGGCCACACAGCATACAGGAGATGGAACAATGTGATCTGAATTGTTTTCTAGGCAAATGGAAACAAAGCTTCATATAAAACGTTTTTAAAAGCACCATTTATTTTCACAAGAGTCAGACAAAAGTAGACCCTTTTCTAAAGCAGTATGTTTTAGGCAGTCAAGGGTCATTAAAACTACTCCAAAGTTCTTTATCAACCAAAATCATGTTTGTGACAACTGTGTGAAAAGAATGTAATTTGATGAAGTGGGAAACAGCACATCTTTTGGGACCCCTGAGGCTCTAATCAAGCATCTCAGAATTAAGAGTGCTCCAAGGCTAGGGAGGGCAGCCCTGCAGCGGCAAAAACAAACCATTTCATGACAAATGATATTAAAATGGAGAAATAGGTGATTAGCACTTATCTGTGGCCAAAGATAGAGCCTTCGTCATGGTCAGGCCATTGTATGCCTCAATTATTTCATCAGTTTTTAAGTGACTTAGTGATTAGGTCTTATTTTCAGATTTCCTCTAAAACAAGTACCCTGGAAGAGGATTAGAGGCTCCAATTTCTCCCTCAAGTTTCACTGCCAAAAAATGGAGGATTACAAAGAGAATGCAAATCTTCCCCCACTTTAAAGAAAGGCCGCCAGAGTCAAAACTTTCACTCCCCCCACTTTGCCTCCCCAACCACCTGGGGGAAAAAAATGGAGATATTATTAAAATAGATTCTTCAGAGTAAAGGGGGAAAATTTTTTTCTATAAAGTTTTTCTAAGTGGTATCTTAGTTCCTTTTTTTTTTTTTAAAGTAAGAAGTGAGAGGGAATGAGCCCAAGAAAATTGCAAAACTTCAATCTCACAATTTATTAAAAAACTATAACGTTCAAACTGCAAGGGTGGAAGGAAGGAGTTGTGAGGAAGGATTAAAACAAGCTGGACACTAAGAGAAGAATGTGTCCTTTTACCAGTAAGTCAAACCTTGTCTTCTACTTCCTCCTCCTGTATGCAAATAAATGTACAATTCTAAAGGGAAGAGCCTTCCTCTTCACAAAAAAGTAAAAGATTCCAAACGACCGGATTACCAGCCCTATTCCAACAATTCAAATAAATCATAAACCCATCTTGTAACTATTGACAGTAGATTTTTAAAGGTCACTTAAATTTAAGACTTATATAATTGAATAAAACTGGCAATTTGGGGTGTGGGGGGGTGACTTCTATTAAAACATCAGCACTTAAAACAAAAACAAAGCCCAAAATGGACTACAGTCTCCAGAACTCTGAACCAAACAGTATCTAAAATAAACATGACTTCTCAGAAGGAAAAAGTCATCCACCATTAAGGACACACCTTGAAAGTTCTTAGCACACATTAACTAAGCAAGCACAAACTAGTGGTTTGACTGTTATTTTTTAGACAAAAAACAATTAGGTTATTTCTCTGCACTTGTCACTGCAGACACATCCGAGCTTTTTTAGAAACGCTAGACTATTACTCATCCTCCAAGTTTTATAAACCAGTATGGAGTCTGATCTGATAGCCATCAAGGCACCCCATCCACTTCAGAGAAGGACAGTGAACAAGACCGGGCTAGACGTGCGTCTTACACATGCACAGGCAAGGTGACTGGCCCCCTGAGACCCCTACCTAGTTGCCAGGCCTGGACGGCAGCTGTTGTTACCCGGCCTCTTCTTTTGTTGGGCTTAATCTCATGTCAAGTCATTCAACCAACTCAAAAGCGATGAAGACATAATTGAATCAACCTGAACTAAATCAGACCTAGGCGTCTTAAAACATACAGCTTAATGGTTTCAAACCATCCACCAACCAGGAAACCGGCTATGGCTACGCGGTAGTACACATGGTAGCCAACAATACGCGAACCCAAACTGGCCCAGGGACCACTGCAGCCATCACTTTTTCAACACATGTTTAGGAATGCCTAAGCCTTCAAAGCCCTATAGGCTGATTCAGAAAGATAAATCCGGGCTCAAAGAATTTCAAAGTGGTACAACACTTAAAACCTTAGGCCTGAAAACGACCACCCTTTTCTTGGGCGGTGGGAGGAAAAGTTTCGCTGCCTGGGTGTGGGCAGGCCCCTCGGGTCCTGGAAGGGGCCTTTGGTGGCTTTTGCTCGCTCCAGGAACCAAACCTTTCGGCAAAACTCCCCGCCTGTTCTCCCCACCCCCACCCTCCCAAGAATGCGCTGCTTCCCGTCCTCAGTGGCCCTGCCCCAATCCTAAAAAAGAGTGGGTCCCCGGAACCCAGGCACCCCCTCGATAAAACTGCTCAGGCGTTCCCAAACCCAGCTCCGGCCGCCAGCAGCACCCCCCCCATCCCGTGCGCTCGCATTTGGGGGTAAATCAAGGGCCAACAGAGATCTGCCTCGGAAACGGAGCGGTTTCACCACTCGGCGCCTCCCGGCACAAACTTCCCTTTAAAACGAAGAAAGAAAGCAGCACTTTGGGGCCAGCACTGCCACCCTGCCGTTTATAGATTACCCAGTTCTGCTGCTCCCCGGCCCTGGGTCCCCCACTAGAACCCAGAGTTATAGAGACATTCTTTTAAGAGTTTATGGGACATTACAAGTTCTTTTAAAGTAAAAAAAAAAAAAAAAATCTTTAAAACACGAAAAAAGAAAAAAAACCACCACCTTATCACATCCAGAAAACACAGCTCTGGGCGCCGCGGGTCAGGGGTGGGAAGACGACCCGGGAGCGGGATTCAGGCGCCGGGGGGACACCGGGGGCGCGGGTTGGGTGGGCGGCGAGGCCCGGCCGCCCCTCCACACCCCTCGTGGACGCGACCCCCGCCCGGCCCGAGTGGCGGCGGGCCATTGTCTGCGGGGACGCCTGCGAGGACGCATTGTTTTGGCTTTTCTAACTTCGCGTCCCCCCCCAATACACACACCAAGGGTCCCTGCGCCCGCCCCCGCACGGCCCCCGCGGCCAGCACGGCCAGGCGGGGGGACCTGCCAGCGGGTCACCAACTTTTCCAAGGAGCCACCTCCGCCCGCCCAGCCCCGCCGGCCCCGCTCCCGAGCGAGAAGGCGGGGACCCCCGCCCCGGCCCTTCTGGACACCCCGAGTGTGAGTGTGGTGGGAAACACGGTGCACACGCCGCCCGCCCGCACCTCTTCGGTGGGGAGGGGGCGCCCTGGAGCGGAAGCGGCGCGAAACGGGGCGCGGGCCCCGCGGGCGGGACGCACGGCGGGGCCGGGGACCCGGCGCGGCGAGGACGGCGCCCCTTTACCTGCGGCCGGCTCCGCGGCCATCCCTCCGCGGCGGCGGCCGGGCTGCACTGACACCGCGGGCCGCCGGGTTTGAATGAGGAGCGGCGCGGAGGGGGCGGGGAGCGGGAGGAGGGAGGCGACGCGAGTTTCGTCGGCCTTTTGTGCGGACACCTCCCGGAGCCCGCGCCCGCACCCGGCCCCCCAAAAGAGACGGGGGGCCTGGGCTGAGGGGCGAAAGCCATCCCCCCAGACGCCACGGGGCCTGGCGCCGGGAAGACCCTCCCCCGAAAAGGAGCGCTCCCCACCCCCACCGCCCCCGCCCCGCCGGAGGATTGGGGGGCCGGGCTCACCTCGGGCGCGGGGCTAAGGTGAGCGGGGCGGGGTGCGCACGGGGCAAAGGCGCGGGCGCCCCCTACTCGTCCGCGCGGGGACAGTGCAGGCGCGGGGGTCCCTAGAGCCGCCCGGCGCGGCGCGTCCGACGCAGGGGGACTGTTGGGTCAGAAAGTGCTCCGAGCAGCTGTTGCGCCCTCCCCCGGCCCCGCCGCTCAGACGCCCCGCCTCCTGCCCCCACCGGCCGCGCGGCCCCGCCCCAGTCCCGCCCCCGACGCCCACGTGGTCTGCGCAGGCGCGCCCCTGCCCCGCCCAGCACCCCGGACTCCGCCCCCAGAACGCGAACGCGCAGAGCGGCGCGCGCTCGCCCTGCTCTCGCCCCGCGACTCCCGTGCGCGCGCGCGCGCGCGCGCCTTACCGCCGCCCCTCCCGCCCCCTCCTCCCGCCATCAGGCTTAACGTGGCCGGCTAGAGTACGGGCGGTTCCAGTGACAGGTAGCGGGGAGGGGGCCGCGGGGGCGGTGCGCATGCGCAGACCCAGCCGGTTCCTTCGCCACTTCCCACCCCCTCCCCCGCCCCCCGCAAGGTGCGCCCGGGAAGAGGAGGGGAGGGGAGGGGCGGGGCGGGGCGGGTAGCCCAACTCCGGGGTCACCGAGAATCACCCACAAAAAAACCTTCACCCTGACTTTGGGTATTTTAAGAGAAATTGGGGCTCAAAAACATAAAACACTTCTTCAGATTTTCTTCAAGTATGGGGAAGGTCGGTGAGATGAGATAATTAAATTTTATTTCTCTAAATTACTGTATTTATAAAGCTAATTGTGATTTTTTTCTGAAGGTGCTGGGCCTGCGTTTCTATTATAACTCCATATTTCTAAATTTTGCCTAGGGTCCAAGAATCTTAGTTTTAATAGAAATTAATTTGGATGAATTAAAGTGGGAACAAAAAAATACAAAAAACCACCCCAGCCTTCCCCTCCCTTTCTACGCCCAACTTGAAGGTTTCCCAACGTTTTACTTCTGACTCACAGAAAGGATGAAAGAAGAAAAGGCAGGAAAAGTTATGACTCCAAAATGATAGACACCCCCTATTTTAGGAAAGCCCCAAGCAGGAGCTATGGCCGAATCAATCCACTAATTTTTCTGCTCTAAAATGCAAAAGAAATTCAAATACGAAGTGGGTCTCCACAAAAAGCCACAAACAAAACTGCCCAGTTTTGGTTTTTTAAGCTGGCCTTCAGTATATCCAAAATGGCAAAAACTTAGCATACATCAAGGAAAGCTTTTAAAATACACTTTTTTCTAAATCGAAAAGGAAGGAGGGAGGAGCACTACAAAAAGGACCCGGAACTGGCGAGCAACTGCAATCCTTCATGAGTAGGAAAAGGAATTTGAGAAGACAGCCAAGCAAAGGGGAAAAAATTGTCTAGTGTAATGTTTTACTGTCGTTTTCCATATAACTACTGGCCTCACACATGGTCTGGTTAGTCTTTTTTAAAACGGAAGTGAATCAATTACTCACAATTAATTAGCAATGCCAGAAGTAGATCCTTAGGCCAGCACCCATTTTTGTCACTCAAATACATAGATATTGGTCATTTTGGTACTAGGGTTCCTTTACTCAAAGATTAATACTTTTCTTTAAAATACTTATCAAAGCCTTATAATTATGCACAGTCTGAAACACAGTTCAAAACCACACTCTTCATAAGCAAGAAACTTCATTTAACTTTATCAAAACAAATGACGGCGAGCCTGGCTACAAAACAAAGAAAGTACAAACAAGTCGAAGCAGGTTGTGCCCAAATGTAAAGAGGCTTCCCTCTTCATGTTAATGGATAACCTTTGAACTCGGAAACCTGAATGCTGTAAACACAATAGCACCGAGACTTAAAAATCCTAGTGTCTTAAAAATCCTAGTGTCAAAATGGAGTAAAAAGAAAGTCCAAACTTTTCAGGAGGAATAGGGAGACAAATATTTTGACAAATAATCATTTTACTAAGAACAGTGAGACTCTTGGCTCTCAGACCTTGTTGCTACTGAGTTATTTTCAGAGCAAAAAAACGGTTGTATTTTTCTCTGTGCCCTCACAAAGCCTCCACTTTGGTAAGCACGGTGGAATCATATGGTCTGTTACAGTTTCTCCACTCCCCCTCCCCCCCAAAAAAAACTTACTCTGTTGTAGCTTTTAAAAGTGAAAGAACTGTGTTAACTGATCTGCTAAGAGTTGTATGTGATCCTGATGTTAAAGCAAAGAATTACAAAGAACCTTAACTCTTGGAAATGTGCCAACAAAACTGGGAAATCATTGCAAAATTCTGCCAGTGACTGACTGCTGGGCTGCAAACACTGTTTTCGAAAGGATGTGGGGTGTGGGGGAGGATCTGAATTCACAGAGGGCTTCTTGCAGTCCCCTTCTCCCTTTGGAAGGTGGAGGCCATATTTGGAAAGCAGTTAAGACAATTAAAAAATGGAAATCCTTGAAGTAGCAGGAGAACACTAGGAACCCTGGCTTTCGTAGTAAGAGCTAAGAACTCCCATTATTGTACAAGTGAAAACTGAAAATGGAACATTGGTCTTTCTGGCCCGTGGCCCCGCCCTGTGTAATTATCCAGTGCAGCACTATCTCTAAGGCAATCAGGTGCTACAGTAAGCCAGCCACAAAAGCAAGGAGTGGACCCCTCGGAGTTGCCCCTTCCAAAAATAAATAAGTCCCACTTCTACCTCTTTCTAATTCGACAGGCATCAGCTACATCTCATTTTTCACAATGACCCCAAAAGGCACCCCCTGTAAGACACACTTCCCCATGTGCGCCTATAAAATCACACCATTATCTCTGATTTCATCTTAGCACTATCAGGCCTCTTCCTGTCACTAACATCTGATTTTCTAAGATCCTGCCTGTCCCAGCATTCTGGGATCTAACGACAACAACAAAAAAAAAACCCTCCTGATTTTACTTAATAGTTCTTGGACTCATCCTTTGAGGCTTCGCCTTCATTACAAGAACAGAATGTAGTACGAGCTTCTTTAGCAAGTATGGACTTCACTCTAGAACTATTAACAGAAAAACAATTTGGAGAAAGTAAATCCCAGGACCTGAGAGAGAGCCAACATAGATACTTGAGGTAAAAGAATTCAGTGTTCAGAGCAGGAAAACCTGAAAAACTGCAACGAGTAGTTCGCGGGAACAGAAAATGAGAAAGTTAGGCAAACTTGCCAGCATTTGCAAACTACAAAGGACATTTGAGAAGGAAGCAGGGAGGGAGGGACAGCCCTTTCTTTTACCAAGACTAAATGCCTCTAAATTAAGTAGGAATAGCAAACAACCCGAGGGAACACCACACGTTTTCCTTTCTCCATCTCGCACAGTTTTAACACTCCTATAAAATATCATGATAATATATGATAACAGTACCTAGCAGAAGTTACCTTGCAGAAGAGTGGGCAGGGTCTGAACCTGTAAACTACAGGAGCTTGCCAGTCCGCAGGCTAGGAACGACACTGGAGATGTGATTGCTGGTCTTTACAAGCAGACCAAAAAGGGAGGGGCCAAGCAAGGATAAAGCCCAATTTAAATAAAAGGTTTAGCTATAATCCTGACATGATTCAATCAAGCTCGCTCCACGAGGGTGAGAGCACTACCGGACTTGAACTCCCCCTCTGCAAGCAATTCTGCCTCCTCTAATACACTGGATAGTTTTCCCAGGTTGACTTCACTCAAGATGTTCATGAAAACTTGCTCAAAGATTACATTTGTAATCTTCCACGCTAGTGGAAGCACCTCTCTCAAGCTTCCTCCTCTGCTCAGGTATAGCCAATGGGGAGCTTTGGAGTGAGGGACGGCAAGGGGAAGAGGGAGAAGACTAACATGAATTGAAATCCAGTTAAACCATCATCATCCCAACAAAGGAGCCATTTTCCATTTCTTACTGAAACCAAAATCTTGAAGTCAGTTTATGGTATTTCAACACACACACACACACACACACACACACACACACACAGAGGCAACCCCTATTACCTCTCCTTCATACATCTCAATCCTGTTCACTTATCTGTGTCTCTAACCCAAGGCTGACCCTAGGCCCATGACCACACTTTCCTGCGCACTTAGGTTTCTTTCTTTCTGGGTTGTACCTTGATGTTTTCACCACAGGTAACACAAGACATCTTGCATGGTAGATGTCAGATCATGTCACCACCCTGCTTAATGGCTTCCTCTTGCCTTAGGGGAAAAGAACCAGCCCTGGGGAGCTGGCCGGGGCCTCAAAGCAGGCTCAAATCATGGCAGGCCCCTCTCTAAAGGTCCTACACAGCCAGTGGCCTTCTCAGATTGGGGCCTTCAATCCTGTCCTTCCAATGCCACCACCCCTTCTTCGTCTCTCCAGGACTTTCCCCTTCCATTCTCAGAGTTCTGACATCTCTCCAATCACTGGGGCTCAAATCCTCAGCTTCTACTACTTCCTGGCAAGAAGATAATGCCACCGTTAAGAGTCCCTAAATAAACAGGAACTATCCTTATTTCTACAGGACTCTGGAGACCTCTGTGCAAAGCTTGCAAGTCCAGGGGTTCTTGGGGCCTGCCACTGATGGAAGCATGAGAGGTGCAGCAGTAAGCCATCCCTTTGGGGGCATGTCTGCTAGGGGGAGATACACACTTATGTTTGCAGCCCAAAGGGACAGGGTGATTAGAGATGACTCCTCTTTTAGAATAGGGATCCCCAAAGAGCTAACACCTCCTAAAAATTAGGCAGCAAATGACATTTTCCTGCCTCTGTGCCCAGGGTATGGTCATAGAATCAGAATTGCTACTGACTGGACATGCCCAGCCTGGACCATCTACCTTCTCTGCTTTAGTTATTATGGACTTCCCATTAAAAGTGGAAACTGAGGCTCAGGATGGTTAAGTAACCTA